ACTGACAGGCATCTACCATGGCCTCTCCAATCGAGTGACTCATGAAGACCGCTACATTGAAGGGAGTATTTTAATTATGCAGGTATGCTTTATGGACTCGTTTGTTCTTTTTCCCATCCATACCTTAGTTTTGCACAAATTTGTACAAATTTTGAGGCACGGGAATGGGTGACACAAAGTGTGTCGCTCTGGCCCGACATGTAAAGGCGACACATCGTCCATGTCAGGAATTTCCTAAACATATTGCATTTTCCAATCTTTCTACCCCGTAACTTGTGCATTTTTTTTACTGCATTTTTCACAGATCTGGGTGTATGAGCATATTACGGTCATTTGCCCGCCTCGATCCATAGCTGATGTGTCCGCTGATCGCGGAGTGTTGTATGTCAATGACACTAGTTGGCCTCATGAAGTCAACTTCTATTGAAGAATTATCGACGAATTGTATTCATTCAGGGTTTTGAGAATGCACCCTTCATGCTTCCAATTATAGGGTCCTCTTGCCTAGTTTTGGTGGGCTAACACTTTACCGAAGGTTACTTTCCTCACAAGGTGTGCTCCGACGGCTTCGGTTCATCCAAAATTATACCTCTCTTGGGGAGGCCATTGATTGCGGCCACATATTTCCCCTCAGATGATACTTTTCCATCCTTTTTGGCAAAGTAGATTTATTTTGGAAGGGGAATAAATCTTCCATGGATGAAGTCCTAGTCAAGCAAGATAAATCTGCGACACGACTCTTGGTAAAAGCGTGCTTGTCCTCTTCCCTTGTGTCCCCGAGGTTCGATCACTCGAGGCGAGTCCTCTACCCCTACTAAGGATCCTACGTCCCCTCAAGACGCCGATGCGTCTTCTTCAAGCAAACGAGCTATGTCGAGTGAAGACACGACTGACATTAGCCTCCAGGGGCAACCTAGCTAGCCGGCTCATCAAATATACCATTCCACATAAGTTAAACAGCCAACCGACCAAGTAATCCGCAGGCCAACGTCTCAATTGGCTAAAATGGAAGAAAACATGAGGGCCCATTAGGGTGCTCTAGAAAGGACGGGTTAGATCGTGCAAATAAGAAAGATTCGGACACTTGGAAGGTTTGTTCTACCTAATTTTGAAATAAATTATTTGAGAAGGGTGGCCTAGAAGCGCTCATCCCTGCCTATTTGTTGACGGTTCTAGCTATTGTTCGCAAAATCGTATGATCTAATCGCTAACCGCCCTATTAGATCGGAATGGGCCAGTTTCGGTTTTAAGTGATTAGGGTGATCAAGCAGTATTTTTATAAAAAAAGTTCAAAAAATTATATATAAATTCTCAAAAAAAAAAAATTGATTTGTAACGTATTTTTAAATATTCTTTACAATATCGTAAAGATTAAAATTTGTTTTTGTCATTAATACGCACTTTTATATTGTCCCATCTCTTTTAGAAAATTTAAAAAATAGCTCTTAAAAAATATAAAATGGGTTAAAATTTATTTTTCATTAATTTTCCACTTCATTTAAATGTGTTTTGTTTTAATCATTCTTTATATACTTTTCATATTTTAGTAGATTTTTTTTTTGTGTATTTTTTTCTAACACTTTTTTGACCGTCCGGGAGTTGCCCAGTTAAAACGGTTGAATCGGCCGATTTACCGATTAAGTTGGTTAAACCGCTTCAGGGCCTATGTCCAATTAACTATTCCGGTTTGATTTTGCAAACACCAATTCTAGGCGACGATAGGCCCAATCCCCTTAAAGTGATATACTAATACATTTTATTCAAAGAACCTCTCTTGTGGTATTAGGAGCTCACATCCCAGGCCCGGGGCTCGTGTTGTCAAACCAACAAAAAATCAATTACAAGCCACACCCCCCACAACAACATGATGATTAAGCTTCTCCTAGTGACACGGTTTACCTATTATTTTTGGATACCTTTTTTTTTTTTTGGAATATATTGCTCATTTTTTTCTAAAAAAATTTTTTAAGAAAATTTTTGATCAAAATTTTAGTTAAAAAATTCAAAAGATATTAAATTAATGAAGACAATAAAAGTTTCAATAAATAAGTTTTTTTAAAAGGAAAAGTATTTGGTGAGTTGGTGACAAACTATTTTTGTGCCGTCGCCCCACAAAATATATCTCAAAGATGTATTTTCAGCCCAAAATTTTAGAGTTCAATAATCTCACAATAATCTAAATTTGGAATTTTTCTTTTTCAAAAAATGCACATGTTATTTTTTTAATTCCTTTCTTCACCGTCCATTTTAACTTTTAGTGGATGCAATATTTGTTTAAATGCATCTTAACAATGGATGTTAGATAGACAAGGGACCACACGATAATGGATGGGCTGACTCACCAAAACCGTGTGCTGTTTTTTAAAGTATTTTAAATAAATTATAAAATACATATTATATTGGCTCAATTGAAAAAATTGTGATTTTTTTAAAATCTTTTGAAAAACTCGAAGTTCTTTATGAATTTCAAAAAATGGGAGTTTTTTTTTTAAAATCATGTTTTAATCAAACACTTGTAGGTTCCAACTTCACAAAGTCATGCATCACTTGATCAGTAATTCTCGCTAGTAACGACAATGTTGCTATGGCCATCATTACAATAACACAAAGCTGGTGTGTGCAGTCAGCAAGATCCTAAATGGATCAAATCCCACAAGAGTTCCAAGTTGCATGTTTGTACAAGAACCATACCGGAATGGAGTCCTAGGAAACCCATGCTTCAAAAGCACACTTCTTAGACCACAAAACACACAACAGCTACAATAGTAATCCCGAATAGTCTAAACGACATTATCAGCAAGTGTTGTATGGAAAAACGTGAGATGACCCAAGAATTTAGAAACAAAGATTCACAAAGCATCAGCTATAAGTGTGAAGATCCTTTGAACATGGGATCTTTAGGCACCCAAATGCCTATCACATGCTGCAGTTGTTACTCGACGGGGTCGGTGATCTCTAATATTTTATTGTGAAATTTTTCTTTTTTTTCATTGGATGGTGTTTCAATTAAGCCAAGATCTAGTGCAATTATTTACAAAAATTTCAAATCTGAAACCCTGTCAATTCACTTTTCCTATGTCTTCATGAGGCTACTTAGGCAGCTAACTTGCCAGCTAGGGAGGATATTAACCAGTCTTCCCTCTTTCTTGGTGACATTGCTCCTTTCTCATCTGATAGGTGTGGCCTAAGCATCTTCAAATCCCAGAAAACTTGTGTCCAATAATGTGCTTTCATGCTGTACCGTTGTTTTTCAATGAATGCCAATACATTACTAATATCTCCATTCGTATGTGGGTGAAACAATCCCCTGGTTGTCATTAACCTATGGATATCAAGAGTCCAAGGGAACATAACAAACCCAATCAAATCCACCTTAGGTAACATGATAGTAAAGGGCACAGCATGATGACCTTTGCACAAAACTGAGGCAAATAGGATCTAATTTTCATATGGCCCAGCATTGGCATATTCAAGACCACAATAATTTCCCAATCATTCATTTGCAATGAGTCATAATGTGCTCAAAGTTCACATGAGATTCACAATCTGTTCAACTACTAGCTACTGCCCAGATACCTGGAAAATCAAACACGAAAATACACAATTTTCTATTAATCTTAAGCTCTAATGACAGTCATAATGAATTTTAGTTGGTTTGAAGACCTGTCATACAATAGGATGAAAGACAGCCCGATCTATCAATTAACAACTCCAACGCTGTTCACCTCCAAAAAAAAAGAAAACGAGTGCTAAAAAGAATAAACAAGCCTCCAGACTACTGCTGCTATGCATTAGACCATTTCAAGCCTCCAGACTACTGCTGCTATGCATTAGACCATTTCAAGCCTCCAGACTACTGCTGCTATGCATTAGACCATTTCAAGCCTCCAGACTACTGCTGCTATGCATTAGACCATTTCAAGCCTCCAGACTACTGCTTTCGTTTTTTATTAGTGAGGACAGAGACACACTCTGGAGGCAGCGCAAACCAAGTTCTGCATACCAAGAAATATTCATCCATAGATAACCACCTTCAACAATGTGAGATCAGTGTGCAATCAATTCCCTGATCTTTTATCAGCAGGATACCAAGGCACTCCATGTGCATTACTAGAATTTATCCCCTGTTCATCACAGTCGACAATAAAAGACCAGTGCTCCACTTCCCAGATTCCTTGGAAGGACGCATATAGGATTCCTATCTTCTGGTGTTCAGGAGGTCTCCCTTCATTACCATTCTCGATGTATATCAGAGGAGACAGCATTGATTCATTTTCACTAGTTTGAGATGAATGCTTCCCTATACTATTTTGCCGACATACCCAATTGTACTCAATGCAGTCCATGTTCATAGCTGAGTGGGATGCAAGACTTTCAACTGCTACGATATCTAAACAGTTATAATGTTGAGGCACAGTGTGGTCATCATGAAATATGCACCAAGTGAGGTTACTCACAAAGCCATCATATAGAAATTTTATAACCTCTAATATACAAGTGGAGAGATCTTTTCAAAGAATACTATTCTTATATATCAAGGAAGATGGGATTCATGAGATGGATGAGTGGGTTCTTTACAAATCAGGTTAGTCCCCAAGCGTATACATTCAATGGTGCTTACCATAATATGTGAGATACATACCAGAGGTTTGCTCACCGCAGACATCTATGCCAAGCAAGTAGTTCTGCGACGCAAATAAAACGAAGCAACAGAACCTAACACCATACCACAAATGAAAGACAGAGATAACTACTGTACTAGTCAAGGAACATATATGAATACAGAAAAATACTATAAAGAAATTGAAGAAATTATCGCCCATAAGAATAAACAAGGTTATAACCAAATATCAAATGGAAACAGAGATTAGATTGAAAAATAACTCAACAATCCGAATGATGCAAAAGTGAGCTCTGTCAAACTTTGGATGCTGAAAAGATAGCAAGAAATGCCAAGTCCAAAGTAATATTTCAGCCAAACAAGTTTTGGAAATTTGGAATGAGAAGCATAACATTTATCCTCATGCCATGTTACAATCATGAGCAAAGGGTTACAGCATGACAAGCAAAGCATGCATCAAACACCATTTGGAGAAAGACAGGATGAATGCATTACGTAATCAGAGAATGGGTATGAATTTACAAATGAACAATATGTACAGCAATTGTCATTCACTCTATTACAATTGCATTTGATTGTGCAACTTCAAATCAGCACCATCATAATGATAAGACTGTTGGTCATCTCCTTATCTGCAGGTTGGATGGCTAATCCCACATATGCTTCACGTGAAAATCAAATATACCATTGTAGACAACTCTACCAATATTCATCACAGTTGTGAGCTTAACCTAAAGGCATGTTCTAATCCTGTTGCATTTGCAGTGTCAGTGCATGAACTTATTGCCAATGAACAGCAATTATACCAAATATTCATACTTCCTCTTCCTATCAATAGAAAACATGGGTTACCCGCTCCTAGTTCTCTCTTATGACCATCTATATGTGATTTTCTCGCTTGCCACCAAGTGGATCCCATATGCCTCGGAAGGACATTGGAAAATCTATCCTTTCATTAAAACTGATTGGACTTTAGGAGATACGATGAACGAAGTAACAAGCAATGCAAGCAAAAGTAATCAAATAAACAAATAATGACAACTTGCAAACTTCTCAACACATCGTGTATTGCAATGGTCTAAGCAGCGTTAAGTATTTCAATCTTGCCATTGATTCTAGCCCCCTTCAGGTAAGCAATTAGCTCGCCTCCTTCACTACCCAAACCTCTAACGCCTACCAGCTTTGCACCAAAACTTTGATACAAAACTTTCAATCTATTGATATCCCCATCTACCTCCTCTAAATCAATCACTTGTTTCCTAGACATCAAGGCATAAAGTCGCAAGGGAGCAGACCTATACTCAACACCATTTGTTCCCTTGCCAACCAATACCCTCACAATTGAATTAGATCCTAGATCACTGGTTCTTGGATCAAACAAAGCAGAAAAGCACCCAAAACACAAATCAGGACGCTTAAACAAATCAAAAAGTGCATCATCTTCAATAAACTCGTCCTTAACCTCAATGTTCTCTGGTTTTGACCTACTTTCTGCAATTCTAGATATATTTGCAGCTTCTCTCAATCCACTAAGAAAAGCTCCATGCATGGTTGCCGGGTACCTTCTATTTGTTGCCTCTCCCGCAAAAAAGACCCTACCTTGCCCCACACTTTCAGCAAGAATATCATAATCGTCACCAGACGCACCAACCGCTACATGTGAATAAGACCCATAAGTAAACTGATCGCTACCCCATCTTGTACACACAGCTTGAATTGGATGGGGAACAATGATGCCCTTAGGGCGAAATATTCCTCTAAGTATACCAAGCACTCTCTCTACTGCATCAGAAGGAGCCATGGATTCAAACCCAATTGCTGATTCACCTGCAACTAAAGCCATTAGCAATGGACCTCCTGATACAGATGCATAGCTATAGAACAAAAAGAACTCGCCCCTTTTGCACTTATCCACGGATAAATGCCCAAATGTATCAATCTCTGCACCCCAAAAGCAATGGGGGAATAGCATAGCCACTTTGTTCAATAACCCAAAACCCAATTTTTGAATTGCTTCGTTCTTTGATTGGGGTAGCTCAGGCTCAAATTTGATTGAACCTTTCTTAAGAACACCAAGAGGAACAGTGCAAAGAACCATGTCACCTTGAAACACCTGGTTGCCTGCTCGAACCTGAACCCCATTCGTTCCATACCTGATCAAATCCACTGTTTTTCCATAGAAGATAGGAAGACCCTCTGATAAGGCTTTGACAAACCTCCCATTACCACCTGGTATGAAGCAATGGTCACCCCCCATTTCATATGGATCATCCTGATCCCAAAAAGCAAGTGAAAGATCAGATAAGAGCGAAGCATTTGCATATTCAAGGTTAGCGTGATGCCAATTGAGAAGCATCCTCTCTTCTTGGTTCTCAGCAACTCTATACACTTCCCTAAAGGTATCTAGAGCAGTTCCTAGAGAAACATCAACAGCCATATCATCCATTGATTGCCTCAGTTTACAAACCTTTTCGAGCAATTGGTTAAACAAAGCTTCAACTCTTGAATCCACCTCTGAATCCACAGCTCGACCATCTGGTAAATACAGAGGGCAAATGTCTCTTACTTTATGAAGAGGAAACCCTAATTGCCTAGCCAAAACCCCCAAAGGATTCCCATTGATTCCAGTCAAAACACTTCCCCCGAGATCAGCAGCTGCAACTATATCATTTCCACTCATTCTCTTCGTGTGAACCCTACCTCCTGGTCTGTTCCTCCCTTCCAAGATCAAAACCCTAAACCCTAAAGTTATCAGTTGCTTTGAAGCAGCCAGGCCTGAAAGCCCTGCACCAATAACAAGAACATGTCCTCTAGCCCTGGGCTGGTGCATGGGCTCAGGTTTAGAAGGAGAGAGGCCAAAGTTGACGAATCCATGGCGAAGAAGAAAAGTATAGGCTGAATCAACCAAGGCACTGTGCTCTTTTCGTATAGACTCCATGGCTTGATCCTTTGTGAGCCAAGCCTTCACATTGGCTCGCCATAGAGAAAGGATGTGGTTTCGAACCACGATGTAATTCGCTTGTTCAGAGCCCCCTAAAGGACAAACCACACCTGCTTCGATCTCCTCCTCTGTAAGTGAATCCGTAGGAAAACCTACAGAGTGCGCGATCAGGGCTTCAATATTTAGCTCTCTGTTTAGGCCATTGATTCTCTTGCGCTTTCCCTTCGATCCATGGCCAAGCTGTTTCTGCAACATCTTGTCAATGAGCTTCTCACTGTAAATTCCTGCCTTTGTATGTGGTCTCAGAGCTCGAGCCTTGCCTATGGCTATGGCGGCCGCGTTCTCTAAGTGCTTCTTTCTTCGACGCCTCTTTTTGGCCGGAGTTTGGTTTTCTGGCAAAGTATCCGGCAAAGGAGGAGCCGTTTTTTCGAGGTTTGAAGATTTTTCTAGATTCACATCCGCCATTGTTGAAGGAGAAGCTAGGGTTTTGGAATCCGCCATTAACGTGTGCTTTTCATTACTGATTTTGCAGGGTACAGAGGAATTAGGGGTTTGCTCCCGCGCCCTTCGGTTCGCATCGGGGCAGTCGTTCAAAGTTCGGTTTGCGTCCAAATTTAGTATTTTCGATCTAGACTTTCGGATAAACATCGCCGAAATTTCTTCTAAAAATTGATTTCCCAAGGGGCCTACATTAACAATGACCGCAAAGTTATCTTGTAGATTCTCTCGTAAATCTGACGGTGATGGAGGGATAGTGCTAATACAGATGAATTCGTGACATATTTGATAGGATGCACTTCCTTCACACAAATTGAAACATGTGGTCCCGGACCCAACCCTGAATCCGTGAGGTAGTCCCGATTTGGATCCATGGGTCCAAAAATTGGACCCGGCAGGTTGGGTCCATGTCCAAATCTTGGACCCGAACATTATTCAGATTTCAGTACGGATTTGAGTTTGATAATATTTTTTGGGTCTCAATATATGAAATATAGTTAAATACATAGATATTTTAATTTTTAAGTCAGGTCCGAGTCTAGGTCTGGGTTTGGGTCTCATATCATCTTTCGAGTACAGCTCTTGACCCGACTGTTGCCACCCCTATCTATGGATTCAAGCACATTAAGATACCTCTAAATTTATGGTTATTTAAAAACTTATTTGAAAAGGTTTACTTTTATGTATTTATTCGTTATTTTTGAAATTTTTAATTTTCTACATATGCGGATTAGAAGTGTAAAGCATCCATTTTAAAGATGGATGCAAGTAGGTGGTCCATCTAAAAACAATGGAAACTAATAGTCCAAATGTTCTCTTAATAGAATTATTATTTTTAGTTTTAAAATTTATTTATTTATTCATATTCATGATCTCTGTTGTAGAGATTACATGTCCTTAAAAATCAAGTCCAAAAAATAAATTTTTAAGATTAATCACATTTCTACATGTGCAAGCTTGGCCTGCATGTTAACCACGTCCTTTATTCTATAAAGACCCTCTGGTGTGTCCATCTAATCAATACCTAATCAATACCTAGTGAGCTCCAATACATGAAATACCTTTTAGAATAGCCCATATTTTTTTTAAGTACACTTTTTCAGAGATACCCCAATACGCCATTTAAATTCATGATTACCCGAAATGGGTATCATAAGGATCGGATCTAGATTGCATATTCCAGATGAATAATTATAATCCTTTAAGGACATTAATCACTTTGAGATCATGTCAAAAGAATGCAATCAGCATACATGTGATTTACCAGGAGCGCAAACTGCTTCCTCGCTAATCAGTTACAACTATGTGAAAGAGGAGAACATGGAATACATTTACACATAGACCTCAATCACAAAGATTATGGATAAGAGGCATACTTCTGATTGAGAGTGCTCAAATCTTTTGGAGAGCCCACTCAATTTAATTTGAAGATACATGGCCTTCAAGACCTCTTTGGCGGACGTGTTCTTTATGGCATAAAGTGGGGGTTTATCTTTAGGCAGCAGATTTACCTTTAATCATGTTTACAGATAAGCTAATATTGTTGCAGGTGATATTACTAAGAACTGTGTCTCTTTGGCCTCTTTGATTGTATCTCCTTCTTTATTTTAGTTTTTATTTTAATCTCTTTTTATCTTAATAAAATCTATTACTCTTGTCACAAAAAAAAAAAAGAGGACAATTTTTATGGTGTGTGCCGACATGTGGAAACACACCATCAATGTAGCGTGGAGAACAAATAACTACACTATCCCACTACTTCATGACCACTGCAACTATCAAGCACATTAATAACTACCATAGTGTGTGATGAACAACGAGGTGTAAAGGAGAAAGAAAGAAAACTTTCATATCCAAAGGAAATATAGTGTAAATTTTCTCTATTTACTTCCCCCTTATTGAGCCACGGTTAACCAATTACATAAAGTTATTTGACCCATCCATTGCAAGAAGAAATGAATGTAATTAACAAGGTGTATACGAGTATAGGGATCTAAGCCATACTAAGTGCATTAAGAGTGAGGATCAAAGGGTCTTGGTCAATGATGACAAGGTCAATAAAAGATGGAGAGTCTATTTTCAAGAATTATTAAATGACGAGCACAATAGAAACATAGTAGTAGAAGGGACTGTTGGTACAAGTGACGATGGATGTTATAGATACATTCGTAGAATTAGGATGTCGGAAGTGAAAGAAGCTTTGAAAATAATGAAAACAGGAAATACTTTAGTACCAGATGGTATCTCGATAGAGCTTTGAAAGTGCATGGGGAAATTGGCATTCACTGGCTAACGAAGCTGTTTAACAAGGTGTTGAAAACAAAGAAAATGGCAGACGAATGGAAGAAAAATATTGTGGTACCTATCTACATGAACAAATGAGACATACAAAACTGTGCAAACTATCGAGGGATCAAGCTAATGCGTCATACTATGAAGCTCTGGGAGAAAGTCATTGAGCAACGACTAAGGCATGAAACGCATATATATGAAAATCAATTTGGTTTTATTCCAAGAAGATCAATATCTGAGGCTATTTTTCTACTTGTGCAACTGATTGAGAAGTTGAGGGCCAAGGGAAAAGACCTCTATGGTATTTATTGATCTAGAGAAAGCTTATAATAGAATACCTCGAGATTTGATTTTGTGGGTGTTGAAAAAGAAAGACGTTTAAAGACATTATATCGACTTGGTAAGAGATACATACAATGAAAAACTAACTAGTGTACAAACAACTAGTGGACAGACGAGTGATTTTTTAGTGATAATAGGTCTACATCAAGGGTCAGCATTGAGCACATACCTCTTGTCTTAGTTGTGGACTACTTAACTAGGCACCTACATAATGAAATACTATGGTGCATGTTGTTTGCAGATGATATAGTTTTGATTGATGAGACCCAAAACGATGTCAATACAAAATTAGAACTTTGGAGTGATGCTCTAGAATCTAAAGTAATTTTAAAATT